GGTTCCCATACTGAAAACCATTGGAAATACGAAAAAATCGAACATGAAAATGGGTTACAATTTCGACCATGGCTTAATACAATAATTTGAATGCAGACTATAGAAAAATTCAACTACAAATTCAAAGAGGTATCCCACGTCGAGATCGGAATAAAATTACTCAAGTTATGGAATCTAGAAGTGCAGTTTTCGGTTCCCATACTGAAAACCATTGGAAATACGAAAAAATCGAACATGAAAATGGGTTAAAATTCTGACCCTGGCTTAATAGAATAATTTGAATGCAGATTATAAGAAAATTCAACTACAAATTCAAAGAGGTATCCCACGGCGAAATCGGAACAATATTACTCAAGTTATGGAATCTAGAAGTGCAGTTTTGGGATCCCATATTGAAAAGCATTGGAAACACGGAAAAATCGAACATGAAAATGGGCTAAAATTTTGACACTGGCTTAATAGAATAATTTGAATGCAGATTATAAGAAAATTCAACCACAAATGCATAGAGGTATCCCACGTCGAAATCGGAACAAAATTACTCAAGTTATAGAATCTAGAAGTGCAGTTTTTGGTTCCCATACTGAAAAACATTGGAAATACGGAAAAATCGAACATGAAAATGGGTTAAAATTTTGACCCTGGCTCAATAGAATAATTTAAATGCAGGTTATAAGAAAATTCAAATATGAATTCAAAGAGGTATCCCACGTCAAAATCGGAATAAAATTACTCAAGTTATAGAATCTAGAAGTGCAGTTTTTGGTTTCCATACTGAAAACCATTGGAAATACGGAAAAATCGAACATGGAAATGAGTTAAAATTTCGACCATGGCTTAATAGAATAATTTGAATGCAGATTATAAGAAAATTCAACCACAAGTTCAAAGAGGTATCCCACGTTGAGATCGGAATAAAATTACTCAAGTTATGGACTCTGGAAGTGCAGTTTTGGGTTCCCATACTGAAAACTATTGGAAATACGAAAAAATCGAACATGAAAATGGGTCTTAATGGAATAATTTGAATGCAGATTATAAGAAAATTCAACCACAAATGCAAAGAGGTATCCCACGTCGAAATCGGAACAATATTACTCAAGTTATGGAATCTTGAAGTGCAGTTTTGGGCTCCTATAGTGAAAACCATTGGAATTACGGAAAAATCGAACATGAAAGTGGGCTAAAATTTGGACCCTCGTTAAAAAGAATAATTTGAATGCAGATCATTAGAGAATTTAACCACAAATTCATAGAGGTATTCCTCGTCTAAATCGGAATCTGATAACTCAAATTATGGAATCTAGAAGTGCAGTTTTGGGTTCCCATAGTGAAAACCATTAGAATTACGGAAAAATCGAACATGAAAGTGGGCTAAAATTTGGACCCTCGCTGAAAAAAATATTTAAAATGCAGATCATTAGAAAATTCGACCACAAAGTCATAGAGGTATCCCACGTCTAAATCGGAATACAATAACCCACGTTATGTGATCTAGAAGTCCAGTTTTGGGTTCCCATAGTGAAAACCTTTGGAATTGCGGAAAAATCGAACATGAAAATGGGTATGAAATGGGACCATCGTTAAAAATAATAGTTTAAATGCAGATTATTAGAAATTTCCACCACAAATTTAAAGAGGTATCCCATGTCTAAATCGGTATCCAATAACTTCATTTATGGAATCTGAAAGTCTAGGAGTATTCCATGAGGTTTGAAGAATAATTTTCTTTGCCAGTGCAGCCACCTGCCACGCCCCCTTTCCACAATCCCCACAGTATTCTGCTCAGCCCACTGTTAGTTTTTATTTCAATTTGAGCTGCGAGCAGAGGAGAGAAAAACCGCTAGCACCTGTTCCGCCCACCTCCCCCCTTTCACCGGCCCCGCCCACCGCCTCCACCTGCTTTTTCCGGCCGGCTGTCTGCTAACAATTTCCCGCTTTGAATATATAGACATTTTGTACAAAATCCTCGCATCTGCAACATATGTAGGGTGTGTGCATTTGTTTGTTTGTTGGCTTGTCGGTCGGATGGTGGCTGCGCCTATTGGCCTCGTCCTCGTGAGCGCGCATTTTCATTTGTATTTATGCAATTTGTTTGTTTGCCAGCCGGAAAATTCAATGCATCGAATGCATAGCTGAATGAGCCCCCTCCTCTCTCCTCACCGATAAACCACCCACTTTTCCGAGTATCTATCAATGGCATATTCTTATCCGACTCGCTTTGTCCCGTGGCAATAATAGGAATATATTTTCATTTTGCCATTCATATTGAGAATTATTTTTGCCATCCACGTTTCGGTCTTCTTTTTTGCATTTCCAGAGCATTTCGGGTGATGGACGACGATGGCAGCAAAACTCTCAGCGCCGAGGAGTTCAAAAAAGGAGTCACGGATATCGGTCTGGAGCTGAGTGATTCCGAAATCGACGAAATGTTCACCAGGTTGGTAATTTTCAATTTAAATTTAAATGACAAATAGGGATTTGGGGCTTAGCCGGCGAGGTCTGCTGAATTCTGCAACTTATGCTCGAAAATGAAATAAGTAGTTGAGGGGAGGCTAGCTGAAATATCTTAAACTAAATTAAATACTTTACCTTATTCACAGCATCGATACAGACGGAAGTGGCAACATCAATATGACAGAATTTCTGGTAAAACTGCGGGTAATTAAGCATTAAATTTAAATGAAAGAAGTATTTTTAATTATATCTAATATTTTTCAGCCTCCCATGAATAATTCGCGTATCAGCATTATCGAAAAAGCCTTTGACAAGATGGATGCCAATGGCGATGGCCAAATTACTGTTACCGATTTGAAGAACGTTTATTCGGTGCGCGACCATCCTAAATATCAAAGTGGCGAAATGACAGAGGCTGAGATATTCACCGTGTTCCTGAAGAACTTCGAGGTCGGAGCTCCCAATCCCGATGGTATTGTGACCAGGGAGGAGTTCATCAACTACTATGCCACGATCAGCGCTTCGATCGATAACGATGGCTATTTCGATCTAATGATGCGACAGGCTTACAAACTCTAATCAGTGTTCCTTTTAGCAGCTAAAAGTTTAACGTCCATTTGCCGTCTTTGAAGCTTGATCAGTTGATTAAATTGCGCACATGTAATAATAACTAAAAGCGAAGCCAATGTTTTAATTAAATGTACTAGTAATGTTGAAATCAAAATGCATTGTTTATATCTACAAGTCCTATATCAAGTGCTATTTAAAATTAAATTCTCTTGAAAACACTAACTGTAATTAAAACATTTACCAACGAAAGCTGCGCATCAGTTGAGTTGGACTTTAAACCGCTTTAAATAACCTAATCTTTGGCTTTACTCAGCGATTTGCGAAATGACAACGCAAATCAGTCGAGCCGTAAACATTCCAATGCCCCGACTCCTCTTTACCACCCGAGTTGCGTGTAGTTTTGGCCAAATAATGCGCTATAATAATTTATTAAATTAAAGCCGCGTGCTAATTAGCATAAAACTAATTAGATTACTTGTACATGCGAAGCCGCAAAGCACGGCGTAACACTCGCTGAACGGGCGACAGAGTTTAGAATCGGGTTTTTGGTGTGCGGGCGGGATACGCGGCGTATGCGCAATCGTTAGCTGTGTTTTTGTCGCTTTTAATAAAAGTCAGTTTGGCAAAAAGTCAGCCCGGCCAACACAGACAGAACAAATAAGCCTGATTAGCCCGTGTTTGTATGGGTGGGTGTCTGTTACTGCGTTCATACGATTCTTATGTTGCAAAACCTTTTCACAGAGCTGTCAGAAATGCCTCATTCGATTTTCATTGGAAATTCCATGATGGTGAGAGGTCTGACTTTTTGGCATGTTCAAATCAAGTATCACATCACACATTGCTAATTAGCAGAAGGAAAGAATTTTACAAAAATTTGGTTTTTCGAAAATTGTGAATAGGAAAGAGATGGGCATAAACATATTGCTTGAAAATGTGAGTGTATATATCTTGATACATTTATCCGGAATTCCGGCCCCTGGAGACGAACTCTTGCCACCCCCAAAAACTTTCAGGGTCTCTGAGCCCAACCAAGTGCTTAATTAGAGGCTTATTAGAGCGCTGACGACGGCAATTGCCAAACTCTAATTACATTCATTTCGCATCGATGATAAGAATACCACATCTGATTATAAGCCGGGTAAACAAGACTTAATATCCAGTGATATCGATAACAGCTCGGCAAACGTCTCGGCCTGATTATGCAGCCAAGTTTTTGTATGCCATGTAGACAATGTTAAAAGTTTGCCCAAGTAATTAAATCACTTCGATCTTTGCTAATTACAAGCTAAGAACATACATTTAGCAGCTTCGTGCTCCGTGCCCTTGTGTGTGGGTGTTCGTCTGTATCTGTGTGCCTCTGTCTGTGTCTGTCCTCCTTTTGAGCGTGTGAGTGGGTATCTGTGTGTGTGCGCAGCTTGTTAGACAAAGCCCGGCATCACCGACATCCTCATCAGGCCAAAGGGGCCAACAGCGGCAGCAACAACAATGTTGACAAGTTACCTGCCAAATTAATGCAAACATGAAACGTGCGGCAACGGGAATATTAATTAACTAACTACCTGGGACACTCACACTAATGCCCACAGATACACACGTAACATTGTCAAAGGCACTGCGAGAAATCAAAAGGATATTGGTAAAGGAATTACTTACAAAATACATTTTAATAGAGAAAACTCAAACTTTAGTATTAAAGAAAAGAAAGTAGTATTGGTACTTGCAAAGTAGGTATAAATATGATTTTATTATCTAAGTATATATTTTTATTTTAACTTATTTTAAAACATGATGAAATATTCCCGCTAAGACTTTTAATATCCTCCAAATCATTTAATAATAATATAATATTTGTAAGTTCTTTTTTTTTCTGGCATCAAACGACTTTTAAAAAGGTGTTGGTGTAGGAAAACTTATGTTGTTTGAGTCAAAAAATATTAAAATTTGAATAGCTTGTTTTTAACAAGATACAATTTTTCTTAGTGCAGCTACGAGCTTCCAGATCTGTCGGCCTTCGGCCTCCGTGTGTGCCTCGTGTTGGCAGTTGGCACTTGGCATTGTCAGATTTGAAGGCGCATTCCCGGTTACATACCCGGTTTTGCTAACTAACCTGATCCCTGGCCCCATATCCAAAATAATTCCGACCGCTGCCAAGTGGCGTATGATTAATGAACGTTTCATTAGCGCGACTCGCATTACATACACGGTTTGCCTGCCAAGGGATCCAAAAGGAAGTATTTGCATTTCGGCAGGTTGCCGAACGTGATCACAATATTATCTCTTCATCAGCAGGCTGTCCGATGCTTTGGGAAAATGTGAAAAAATGTTAAGAAAAAAGGGGATGTATTTAATATGGGAAATGCTGAGATATCAACTCTAGATACTTTTTTCCTTATGCTTATATACTATACATTTATATTTACCCAACAAGGTTTTATAATTTTGGATTTTAAAGACCTATTTTATTATCCTCATTTTAATGTACATAAGCCCAAATATGGTACCCTTCCCAAGACTCGATTCCAAGGACTCAAAAACTCCTTTTAGCCCCATTTCGAGCCATCTCTACTCACCAGTCGTTGGCCATGTTCGAATCCTTTTTGCGGTGTGCCCATGTAGTTGTTTTTCCTCGGCTGCATGTCGATGGGTGGTGGTAAGTGAAACTGGCTTTTCTTCCAACCCATTTTAACTACCATGGCAGCCGCTAGCGTTAACGAGTTACAATGATTTTCGTGCTAATTAAAATGGTTTTTGCATTCAGTTTACCGCATTAGCATTTCGTTTAGCAGTTGAGCAAACACCTGGAACATAAATTACGCATACGCAGCGTTGCTGGCAGTGCCAGTGAAACGAAAACGTTGGCCAAAAAGTCTGTTTACGTCGTCTAATGAACTCCCATATTTGCCATAGTTTTGGTCTCTTTTGTCACCTGTCTTGCCACCTCACTATCTGTTTTCCCCACTCATCTCCCGACATTTTACGGTGCAGCCTAATTAGATGTTTCAGACGGTTTGACAGCTACGGCTGACTGGGATCGAGCTCATTAGTGGTTTTTAATTACACGTTCCTTGGCATTTTTCAACGGATGAGATTGGTTTCCATTTGTTTGAATGAACCTGGAGAGCACTGACGATTAATATATGAACTCAAAATGAAATATTCAAATAATCAACCAAAAACATGTTAAATTAAAGAAAGAGGTACTGAGACAATTAAAGAGATACTAAAACCTTTATACATTTTTCTATAGTTATGGGAGATTTGCATTATTGGTAGTATCCTTTAAACTATTATAATAGGCATCCATTCTTGAGCGTGGTTTCAAGTTGACATCTAGTGTGCTACAATAGACTTCAATCACTCATCATTTGTTACTCAAGAACTCAGTGGAATGCTTTTCTCAGTGCACCAAACAAATATGCACTCGTTTAATATCAAAATCCAACTTGACTAAACTGCTGCCACTTATGGCCCAATCTAAGCGAAGTTATACTCTCGAAAAATGGCTTACTCGTTGCTCCGGGCACATGCCGTAACACGTGTTGCAAAGTTTTTAGCCAATTCGGATAAAGTTATATTTGGCCAACAATAAGCAAATGCGAGAAATGCTCTCAAGTATGTTTGCAGCTTCTAATGCAGGGCATTTTATTGCCGGCACACATACGCTCACGAGATTTGGCAGCTCGCATTCTGGACACGTGTAAAAGTTGGGCTTTAAACACTTGCAAACAAAATGTTTTCGATTTTTGAAGCGTTTCTCGCCTTTGTTTTATGAATCTCAGCTTCTTTGGGGGCATGTGTATGGCCCACAAAACGCACGGCAGGGAAATCCCCAAAAGAGTTGGGGTGAAACTTTTAGTTTCATATCGCCCACGTTTACTGTCAATAAAACTTTTGCCTGAGCCGGCAAAATGAAAACAGAGCAAAAATCCCTTAAAAGAAATATTACATTCGGAGAGTGTGGGTGAAACAAACATGGAAACAGGATAGATTATGTTAGGGAACACGGGGATGCAGCGCCGTGTCTTATAAAACATGCAAATGCAATGAAATTACACGTTACGTATACGCCCCTTGCTGCAGCCGGAAAAGGAGAAAGCGGAGAAAACAGCAACAGCAACGGCAGAAGAAGCAAACTTCATACACCAAAGGATTATGCAAAATTATGCTAAAAAAAAAGTAGTGGGATTCAGGGAAAAGGAGCAGCAGCAGCAATGTGAAAAGCAAAATCCACGCACATTAAATTAAAGTGCTTTCAATAAAGTCGAATCGTGACTTTGGCGCTAATGACGAGGACAAAGGACGAGTCGGCAAATCTCTCTTAGTGCTTGACAAATTGACTTGCAAATCCCCTTTTTATTTTTCCCTGCTTTATTATTATTATATCTTTGATTCGGTGCAAGTATTTCATAATTTTCGATGGGCGTAGCCGAAGCGGATGCCGCACTAAAAGCGCACTCAGCTCAAAGACAACCAGCGGAAATAGTTGGAAAAGCGGGCTGGCAAAAAAAGTAATATGCGACTGGCACACTGAGAGACTTTTTTGATAGAAACTTATTACTGAAAAAAATATCCTTAATTTTATTTAAAAATATATGATATTTTGGTTAACAAACATTACAAGAATTTAAAAAATATTGTTGCTAAACACTTCCTAAAAATCTATTGATAGGAATTCTATATAATATATATATAATTCCTATAACTATTATATATGAAATAATTTGTTGAAAAAGTCAAAAAAATTTGGATTGAGAATATAAAATACAGATAGTTAGAGATTAAAAATATCTATAAAGAACATAACAAACAAAAGCTACAAATTTTCTCAGAATAAAGTATAGCCCGATCCGAAAAATAATATCTTATAATGATATACAAGATATTTAAGGAAATTACAATTATAAAAGTAATACCTTATGATAATATAAAATATTTTTTAGGAGCTTACAATTTTTAAAGGTCTAAAGTTCTTATATTTTTTCATATTTCTGGCATTCACTTTTTCTTCCAGTGTGCGAGTACGTGCCACGGGCCAAACAAAACACGCGACCCAGACGAGTCATAAGCAGCTGAAAGAAGGATTTCGGGGGGATGAGCAGGGGCTTGAGCCGTTTTGGTGGCCGACAATGACCCGGGACCGTAGGACTTTGCAGGGGAAGGAGGAAAGGGGGAAAGGGGCAGGGAAAGGGGCACGGAAAGGGGCAGGGAAAGGGGCAGGGATAGGGGCAAGGGCCAAAAATGAAAGCCGCAGCCAGACGACCGCCATTTATAGCGAATGGATTCGGATTTTTCGGATTTGCGCACAAGATAATGTGCAGCACTATCCCTTCAGCCCCTCCTGCCTTATCCCCCCCCCCCTTTCTCCTTACCCCCTGCCCCCACCCGATCCTTGGTTGCATGTGAGAGGGCTAAGCAGCAGCTCGAATGCAACGGAAATAGTTTTGTGTGAGATTTATTGCCACTCTGGAGAGTCATAAAACGGAAATTGTACACAAAATCCTTTCGGATGCTCGTTTAAGTTGCCAGCTGACCCACCTCCCCACCATGGACACCCCCCCTTTTCTCGCAGTGTATGGCTGTGTATGGTTGAGCATTTTTATGTGTTGTGTCATTTTTGTTTACTCTGCTCCACTCTGCTGTTAGGTTGTCCAAATGTTTATGTAAGTCATCGCTTCGTTTATTCGATGCCATCCCATTTTGAAATTATATTTTTGCCCATTTTGTGGAAACGCTTCTGATTTTCTGCTGGCTAAAAACTCTTTGCCCTGCAATTGCAGTTTATTTATTTTATTTACCACCCTTTGAGTGGGTCAAATGCATTGTCCACTTGGATTTCCCCCCATCCTCGCCCTCTTGTGCCATAAATTTGGCCTGGCTTTCGCAGAGACACAGATTAAAATGCCCACTTTGCTGAATTGGTTTAGAAGTAAAAAGGGGAAATCTGGAAAGCCCTTTGTCGAGCGCAATATGGAAAAGTGCATTAAACTTTTAATAAGGAACTATTGCCAACGAGTTCAGTACTTCATTAGGAAGCCGAATCAATGGAATGGTCGAACGACAAGTTATAAATAAAAGCATTACTGTAGGAAAACTTTTGGAAACAAGTAAATTAAAATGTTTGACATAATTATTGAGGCAGTTCTTAATGTTGTAAGCGGTACGGGAGTTATAAAATTAAAAATGGCTTACACAAATCTGTTGGATTTGTTAAAGTTAGAGTTAAAGATAGGATAGATACATTTTTAATTAAGGCAAACATATTTATAAGCAGAAAGGTTTTCAATGCTGTAACAAAAACGAATCATTCAAGTTGTAAAGAAAAATGTAGATTCGATTGGGTTTTAAGCATCCTGTCGCAGCATTCATTTGAATTTTGCCAGCTCTGCAAAAGTTAAAATTCTTAGCTTCACTCATTTCAATTCCAAATCAGTTTCGCCACCTCTCCCCAACTTCGCAAACCATTCTTTCGATCTCAAACAGTTTCGAGTAATTTGGCTGGAAACCAAAAACCCTGCCGCTGCCACCCAACCTTCGACTGGCAAGTTTTTAGAGCGCTGTCTGGCAGTCGCTGGCTTTTTGATGACAACCGAAAGATATCCCTGGAAAAGTGGCTGGCCAAGTTACGCAGTGAAAACGGTTTTCTATGGCCACCGAGGCCATTACCATATATCTAACGGTGAACTTATAGAGCAAACCTATTTGCCCCTCAGCTGCAGCACCGCCTCTTCATCTTCATGCGCTCTTTTGTCATCTTGCGTAAACAGCAGAATTTTGTCGGATAAAAGCGGGCGATTCGGGGGATCAGGAGGAATGTTGCCACCGTCTAGGTTAGAGCCCCATTTGGGTGCTAACATGATTTTGCACCGGGAGTCCCGTGTTCCCTGGTCCCGAGTCTTCAGTCTCGAGTCTGGGCCTGGTCATTTCCATTTCCGTGGTTGACAACATTTTTGGCAAACGATTTTCTGCTTATTTGCCACAAAGCGAAACCAATCGAAAGAGCTCTAGTGATGGGAGGGAATTTGTACGTTGTGCTTGTTTATCGATAAATATATTGATTCAACGTAACTGTACAAAATAGTCTTTTAAAAGTATAGGCTTAGAAGTATACATTCAATTTGGTAATATCAATTATTAGGTATTTTTATTAAGATTATCTTTGTATTTATAGGATATTTTAATTTGTAAAATCAAATGTCTTTTTATAACTAACCTTTTTCTAGACTTATCATTAAATCGACCCCTAGATCATAATACATTATCTAAGTTTGTTTTGTATATGTTGGTATACCCCATAAAGTTCAAAGGATAACCTTATTATCCACATCCTTCTTACCAATTTTACTTTATTTTACTTGAGGGTTTCTCCAGAATAGTAATAACAAGTTTATGCTGTCTTCAGATGCTTATACCTTTCCGTTTAACCTATCTGCCTGGCCATCTCTAGCCAAATTCATTTATCTCCCTTTACTAGAGTTGGCCAGGCCCGGCTGCTTAGCATCGCTGAGACAGAAGACCAAAGACCGAGCTCCGAGCACCGGGCTCCGAAGACTGGAACCGTGAACCGTTGAGTTGGCACTGCAGACAGCACGGCAGGATAATCATTTTTTCATAAAGTCATTATTGTTGTGGTTGCAGTTGGAGCCGTATTCCAAAGACCCCACCTCGTACCTCGTACCTCTTATCCTGCTTATCTTCTCCCCTGGCAACTATTGTTCTCAAGTGTTTGTCGTTTGTGCGACTGTGGCAAGGGGAATGAAATTATGTTGCCGATGGCCAAGGCAGCCGCAGAAAACAATTTCCATTTAGTACGTTTTTCCTGCAAGTAAACACGTTCCTGTCCTTTTGCTTACTATTAGTGGGCATCCGCAGTATGAATGGAGTGTATTTAATTGAATTTAATATATGAATCATCTTGGCAGAATTTTATAGAAAGAATTCGGTGAGCAAATGTAGAGGGAAATTCTTTAATTACTTCTGCATATATAAATAAATTACTTTGAGCACTTGAACATTTAAATTTAAACACTATAATATTGCTTTAAAAATATAGGAGTAGGAATACTTAATTCTAAAAAATATTATTTAATTATAGAATTCTCTTG